CAGGATGAGACGTGTGCCAGGATACAACTTCCCTTTGTCAACAGAACAAAAGCTGTCAAGTGTCCTTTCGCTGAAAGGGGCCACTCTCTCCCATCAATGTGGGTGTCTGCTGATTCTAGACAACACGGGAACACTGACGGCAATGCAGGGCTGTCAGACTTGTTAACAGCCCGGGTGAGTTGTTGACATGATGAGGACATGGCCAAAATGGAAGGAAAAAAGCTTTCCTTGGACCAGTTAGTAGTGTAAAAAAACTTTACCAAGCATAGTTGATCGTAACAGAGAGTAGGTAAGTGGAATGAATGTGTAATAATGGCATAATTTAAAGACATAAGTGGGACCTATAGCAAAACAAAGCAGTGTAGAACAAACTTTTGGCATGCCAGCCAACTATCCCCTATTTTAGCAATCTCCATGCCCAATTCACTCTGGTTTCTGTCTTCTGCTCTGTAAGAAACTCTATGTCTGACAATCAGGCATATAGCCCTAACCAGATTGGTTTAGGGTTTTCCTTTTTCCATTTTCTTTAAAGACGGTCCTCGACTTACAACAGTTCATTTAATGACCATTCAAAGTTACAGTACAACGGCACTGGAAAAAGTGACTTATGAACATTTTTCACATTTAATTGCAGCATCCCCATGGTCAAAATTCAGACACTTGGCAACTGACTCTTATTTATGACGGTTGCAGTGCCCCAGGCAAACTCAATGGAGAAGCTAAATTCATTTAACCATGTTACTAACTTAACATCTCCCATGATTCACCTAACAACTGTGGGAAGGAAGGGACAAAATTCACTTAACTTCTTGCTTAGGAACATAAATTTGGGGTTCAGTTGCGGTTGTAAATCAAGGGTTACCTATATAAAGGTAGTCTGGGTTTCTGCAAATTTCTGGTGTAACCATATGCTCCAGAGGATAAAAGTCTGCATTTTGGAGAGGGAAGAAAAATTGTAAGCAGACCCTATTTCTCTACCATACTCTCCAAACTCAGGAGGAGTAGAATAGCTCATGTGGCACTTTCAATACTTCTCTACAGTGGATTTACTTGTTCTTCTTTTCTGCCTTTTCTTCAGGACTTAAGGCAGAATACATAGTACCCCTTCCTCCCATTTTTCCCTCAACAACATTGTGAGATGAATTAAACTGAGAAAGTAGCCTAAGGTCAGTCACAGAACTGAGGGTGGACTTGAATCTCAGGCCTTCCCAGTGTGAATCTAACATCTTAACCGCTATATACACTGACTTTCAATTTCAGATGTATTTATTTGTATTTTTATCTTGCCTTTATTTTTATAAATAATGCAAGGTGGCGAACATACATTATATTCCTTTCGCCTCCTATTTTCCCCACAATAACAACCCTTGAGGTGGATTGAACTGAGAGACTGACTAGCTCAGGGGTAGGCAACCTTGACTCTTTTCTGACTCGTGGACTTCATCTCCCAGAATTCCCGAGCCAGCCATCTGAGGGGAAAGGGAGAGGTTTCCAAGTTGAGCCATGTTGGCTCAGGAATTCTGGGAGTTGAAATCCACAAGTCATAAAAGAGCCAAGGTTGCCTACCCCCAATTGGCTTTCATGTGTAAAGCAGGACTAAAACTCAGTCTCCTATTTCTAGCCTGGTGCCTTACTCACTTACAAATAACTAATTTAAAATATATTTGAGTCACTCATTCTGAACACAAACTTCTCTTCTTCCTGGAGGAAAAAAAAAGAACGGCCATTGCAGCTTGCCGGAGTACACAACTGCATTTATTTTTCACCATCATTGGGATTATGAAATTACAGCAGCAGAACTTCAGTATTTACAAAGGAATCAAGCAACTGGATCAGAAGACCATCTAGTCACCAGCGAAGGAAAGAAAGAACAGGGCAAATTGATGGAGTTTTACAGAGAAATCTAAACAAAAGACCAAATGGAAGACAGTAACAACAATGAAACGATGTAAAGGAAACATACTTTGGAAAGTACTTTAGATGTGACCAAATTCCTACAACCAAGACACTTCAAGGCAGATGTGAATGTAGAATCAATGCAGAGTTCACAGATTGTATCACTACGACTGGGTATTTTACAGCCCCCGGGCCACATCCACCTCTTTGGCTGTCCCTGCCTGGCTTCACTTGAGGTCAATTGGAAATTAGAAATCAAATGTAAGTAAATGTAGGCCATGCCTGCAATACAACTGCATCACTTTTATTCTGAACGTGACCCCCCCCCCCAATTTAAGTATGTGCCTGCGTGCCTGTGCACCTTCGCAGTAATGTGTTGGTCCTATTGGTTCCACTCTCCACAGCAGTCACAGTTTCTCATGTGGCCCCTTGGAAAAATAAATTGCTTACTCTTGACATACAGGTTTCTCATGACATCTACTCAAACAAGTAGTAATATTTTTTCTTCTTCTAGGCGCTGTCTGCAAGCATGGTCAGGCAGGCACCAATCAAGATTTAAACTTCCAAAATTCCTATCCAGAAATGTGTTGTTGAAGACTCTTGTCATCCAAGCAAAGATGTCCGAAGGCTGGATCGTGACAACTGGACTAGGGTTTTTTTGTTAGTTTGAGACGTTTCACTACTCATCCAAGCAGTTTCATCAGCTTCATAACTCCAACCCAGAAGTGCTTCCCGTGGAAGATTTTAAAACAGTTATTAAAATCATTAACATAGATTTTGAAAGATGAATAGTTATCATGAGGCTCTTAAACAAGATGGGACAATGTAGGTTTGGCTATATTTGAGAGATGATTGTGCAAAGGCTAGAAACCGCAATCTGACTACAACACATGCACGCCACTACTTGCCTTCCTTAAGCTGCATTTTTCCAAGGTCCTGCAAACTTATTTTTGGCTTCCCCCAATCTCTGGAACTCCAATAAATCAGGGTTGCAAATATAATGTAGGGTAAAACCACCCCTAAACCGCTTTACTATAAAGGATGTGGCTCAGTTGTTAGAGGGAACATAAGAACTTATTTTAGAAGTGGTAGCAATTTATAACAGAGAAGCTATTTCCAATCACAGTTCTACTGACTAGTACTACTAGGAAATCTCTCCTTATCAAGTGAGCAAAATAGCAAGACAAGCAGAATCTGCAGCTTTAGCTCTTCGGTAGCTTTAAGTCTCTCCCCTCACTTCATCTTCTCCTTTGAGCGTTGATTATTAATTGGCCGGTTCACAAATATAGATTAAAAAAAAAACCCTGTACAAAATATTGGCAGGGGAGGAAGAGATGTTGAGAACAAGAGGAAAAACCGATCGCAGCCACCCTGATATTATTATTTTTGGCTCCTCCAGCAAACTTCACATTTTGGTAATGCTTGTACAATCATATTGTGTCAGAAAAGCACTTTCTAATTTGATTGAAAAGATGAGCTTAGATCAGTGCTATGACCGAAAGACAGTTGGCTTTAAGTTCCAGGTCTGGGAAAAGTTTGGGCTTCCTGGAACTTTTTTTTTTTTTTTTTGGCAAGTCACTATGAGAAGGGGGGGAAAATAAAAAGGAAAAAAAAATGAGTAATGTGCGCGTTATTAATTCAGTCTATTATTTCCCTAAGAACTAGAATCCCTACTGGGACGTAAGCGAAATAGCCCAGGAATAGCTTGATGGAACACCACACGGTGTCACTTTGATGTAAGACCTTTGATCTCTAATCAGCCTAGAGCTTATTGATCAGTTTTCTACAGCTGCCATCATTCATGCTTGAAATGGCTGAATACAACGAAGACCCCCAAGACCTGCTAAGCCACAGGTGCCTCTTTTTTTACACAGCACGCATCTTTGGTACTGCAGGAGGAACAAAAGGAGGAAGGCTAGCAAGGGAACAACAAGGGTAGAAATGAAAGGAGAGTCCAGCGGGTTTTTTAGGTCGCCTTCGGTTAAAAAGAAAAGGGTGCCCCTTTTTTCACACAACAGGCAAGGCCGTAAGCCCGAATTAAGTTAAAATTCATCTGAGCAGCTCTTGCCCTTTAGATACCTGGCTACAGCAGGGAAAAGCTGAGCCCTAAAGGAATGATTCATGTTTCCTAAAAGCAGACATGACGCCAGTATGGCTTCTAATATCCAACCCTCATTATAAAAGATGAAGCATTTAATGGCTATGGGTTATGTTTCCAGTGACTTCCAAGGCACAATATAATGTATGATGAACCCAGGTAGAGCAAGGGCTTTGGGAATTCAGTTCTATAAAGGAAACTAGGAAGTCTTAAGAACAGCTCGTCAAAGAGAGCAGCTTACATTCTTCAGCAGGTCTGAGACAGGGGCAGTTTAAGCTGACAAGAACGTGACAAAGATCAATTGAGATCAACTGCCTTTCGAATGCTGGTTCCTATGAGGCTAGACGTAAAACACACACACACAAAGAGACAGACGTTCTGTGCAGTGGGTAAGAGGAAAACAACATCGTCCTTAAACTCCTGTCTGCACCAGAAGAAAATCTCATCTCACATAAAGCCCTGCATAGATCAAGAGGACCAGTCTTCCATTTTGAGGCCACCATCTGGGAAAAAAAGTGCTAGAACTATAATCACTGGAAATCTCATCATTCAGTGCAACAAATATTACCCCATCCCTGGGTGGTGACCACAGATAGCCACTGTCCATTTAGCGCCCATTAATCACCGCTCAGGGAGAACAGAGAAAGTTATCACCTCCTTAGACACCTCACCCCAGGTTAATGAAACCCTCCCTCATTGTCCTACCAACCAAAGTCCTATTTGGGATTTCCATGGGGGAAACTTTGGGCACAAAGGAGTTTTGGTGAGAAGTACAATGCAAGATTCTCCCTCCTTTCCCAATCCCAAAAGGTTCCAAGTCAAGTATGTTCAAAGAAACCATCCTCATCCAAACAAAGAATCCCAGGGGATAACAGCAGAGTTGTTATTACAAAATACAAATGGAGTTCTTTTTTTGAGGGCTTCCAGACCATGCGGCTCCATGCCTTCCTAGGCTGAAAAGCCACAGGTTCCATCACTTGACTTCAAAGGGGAACAAAGGGAGGGTGGGTGGGTGGACACACCAATGTCATCCATCACCGGATGTGAAGAGTCAAGATGACTATCAGGATAATCCCCAAAAGGAGGAAGAAGGGAAGCCAAGTCTTCACAAAGCCTCCTATGCTGTAAAAGAGAGAAAAGAGATTTCAGAAACTAAAAATGTGGGGGGGGGGGGCATAAACCACTGAAGTGCAGCCACCGAGGACCACGGATAGAAAGAGAAGGAGGGTTGCTGAGAATATGCAGAACACAGGCAAGGAAAGGGACATAATAGGCCAGGGGTATCCAACCTTGGCAACTTTAAGACCTGTGGATTTCAGCTCCTAGAATTCTCCAGCCAGTCATGCTGGCCGGGGAATTCTGATAGTTGAAGTCCACAAGGTTGGACACCCCTGTATTAGGCCTTTATCTTTCTCTGCAACCAAGTCTAAGTACTTGCTAATTGAATATTCCTGGTCGAGCCCTATTTCCACCTACTTTTCCATCTCTGCCAAGTTTCATTTACAAACTCTTTGGAAGCACCATTCACACTCATGGTTCAAAAGTTAATAACAATTAATCCTTCATTCGTCTATTTTGACTGGCATACAGATAGTATAAAATACATTGTATATTAAGTGCTGTAACCACATAGATGCACAATCTGGGTGATGTACAGTAGATTTCCAAGGTTTTCTGACTCCGTTATTTTACAATCAAACGATATTCTGCCATCTGTCAATTTCACTGATAAGATTATGAATGCTTCAGCAAACCAGAAATGAACTTTTGGAAGAAATAAGTATGCAATCTGTTACATTCTGATATTTGATATAAACTCCCAGTATGCTGTTTTGTTTTTTTCCATTAGGTTCTAGCTAGAGGAGTTCAGAATTTTATTAAAACAATTATTACTCTCTTCCAAGCATGAAGGTTGTCATCACTGCACTTTTGACAGGAATGTTCTTTTACACAATGTTTAGTAGCACAATGTAAAGCTATGTAATAATATTTATACATAAACAATACTAAATATTAATATTAAATAATAGTTACAATTTCTGAATGGCCTATCCAGGTCAACAAGTCAATGGGTTGAGAAATGCTATTTTGTGAAAAGAGACGTATTTCTTCCTTAGATCAGACACTGAAACAGCTTTCAACAACCTGAAGATTTCAGCTCTTAAAAAGCAGTGAAGTTACTAGCCTTTGAGGTTATTGACATAACAATGTAAGCAGTGTCAGAAGACAAAAGGTGTCAGTTGCAGTTGGTTCTGTATAACCTTCTGCCTTTCCACATTACCATAAAAGCAGAATAAATTATGCAACTAGGAAAGCATTAGAGGCTTTTTAAAAAAAAATGCAGAAATTCTACTAGACTGTCTGCTAACAAGGACTTGCAAATTTGAGATTGTACAACTAATTTACAATGGGGAAAAAGCTCTACACCACAAGAATCAATGGATCGAAAGGATCTAGGTACAAGGGACGTAAAATTATCTGCATATTAATACATGAGACATTTAAGGAGAACCAAGCCCTTGATGAAAATGCTCTTTCTCTCTCTTACTCAAAGACACAAAAGCAATGGAGTTTTCTACTCACCTTACATACTTTCCATACAGCAAAGAGAAAAAACAAAGTTTGATCATATTCCAGGAAGTACTGTTGTCGTATCGCATGAGATTTAAGGCTAGAGCTACATGAGAATGGCAATTGTCACAACAGAGGTTATGCTATAAGAGAGAAAAAAAGGTACAATTGAAGATATTTCTACTTCAATTATGTCTCTCTAGACATAATCAGTACTGAGATAGGCATCCTCAAACTTAAACTGAAAACTGAACCTTACTCACCATTCGGTGCTTATATTCTTCAGAGGCATCATGTACCGCTGTATCCCAAGCACTGGGACCACAGGAATAGACTTTGTTGGGATCCAGTTTCCAGTATCTGACAGAAGGGGGGGGAGAGTAAATCAAAATTATTTCACTGCTTTCATCAAATGGAATACCTCACTTTCTAAAAAGTTACTAAAGTATTCAAATAACTCAATTCCAAATACAGGTAGTCCTCAACTTACAACCATTTGAACTTACAACGGCACTGAAAAAAGGGACTTATGAGTGGTTTTCATAGTTACAGTCATGTGTTGTAGCATCTCCATGGTCATGTGATCAAACTTTGGACACTAGTTATGATAGTTGCAGTGTCCAAGTCATCTTTGGTGACCTGGCAAGCAGTCAATGGGGAAGCCAGATTCACTTCGCAACTGGGTTACTAATTTAACAACTGCAGTGATTCAATTAACAACTATGGCAAGAAAGGTCATAAAATGGGACAAAATTCACTTGACTGTCTCGCTTAGCAGCAGAAATGTTGGGCTCAATTGTGGTCGTAAGTCGAGGGCTACTTGTAATTCTTAATTCATGGCATGCTTTCATGATTGATCTAATTGAACATCTGCTGAAATATTACTGTATATGTATTTCTAGTCCTTCAAGCTCCTAGTCCAAATGAAGCCTGAAGATGTAGGGTTCAAAGCTGATGAAATCGTGGGAGTGCAGACTTTTCACTGAATTAAGGATCTTACCAAGATCACTTGAGTAATTACCTTAATCAAAATCCATCAAAAGGAGACATAGTTAAAATAGTATGTCTCTCATCCCTTGCTTTTTTTTGTCCTATAATTTTACATTATCACTCATCTTGCCCTATATTCACCTCCCACCCTGACAAAGCCTTCCAGTTTTGTAAATTGTTTGAAATATTTTTGCTCCTTAACATGTCTGTAGCTCTACCCAGTACAGTATATGCATTCTTTGTTTGTTATAGCATTTCTTTGCTGCATGTATCATACATTGCTTTTTCCCCCTTCAGTAATACCCAAAGAGACTGAGAATGAAAATAAAGCACTACAACATAAAGACTCACATTTCTTAAGACAGCAACTGATAAAAATTAAACTAGTAAATTATCATTTAGGAGGATGTCAGGCATGTACTGAATAAACTAAGCATGAAATAGCTGTATAAAGCAGCAGAACAAACACTATATCTATATTGGTTATCTCAAAGAGTATCCTTCAACTGCTTTTACCAACTTAAAAAACAGAGCCTGGTTAGTATGGCAGCCCCTTAAAGAATTTTTTTTAATCTAATAGGGAATACGTTTCCTAGAAGCATGAGCAAATTCAAGATTATTTATTTCTAAATAGAGATGCACAAGATACTACTGTTCATTTTCTCTTCTTTTGTGCCAGTTTTGGTCCCCCACAAAAGAGGTGTCAGATACAAGCAGGCACGGCTAATATAAGAGAAGAACCAATATTTGGATAGATAGAAGAGACACTTGAGATCATGAATTAACTTCAGATCAAACTTCTACTGTTAATTAGTAGAAAGCTTGATTATATCAGAAGCTCAGATGATTGTGAATACAAAGAGGTTTGGTGTAATGCTGCTTTACTGGTGCAAGCTCCATCAGTCAACTATAATCTATTTGTTTTTGTTTTAACTGAAATATGGCATCTATTGTTCTGTTTCAGCCACAAAAATACCTCTGCAAATTAAAATTAACACTTACTTCACAGGCTTCCCAAAAGCCATGTTGTCTTCCTAAAGAGGATAGGGAACAAAAAAAGGAAAAACACATTCAGTTACCAAATCAGCTATACTTGTGATAACATTATTTATTCTGCTTATGTCCTCCAAAACTAACTGTTGTATTGAATTTACACTGACCATGTATATCACACTAAACTATTGTTTAATCATGGTTTATTGAATAAACTATTCTTGCTGGAGTCATAAACCATAGTTTATCAACCGCAAGAATTAAGCTTATACAATATGCAGTGTCAAAACTCAAACAAAATTTCCAAGTCCAATTTGCCTTCTTCAGGTTGAGAATCAAGACACAATTATCTTTTTTAACCTTCTCTGGGTGTTCTCCACCCAGAGAAGGTGAGAATGTTGAAGAATTGTACTCCCATACATCTAGAGCAGTGGTTCTCAACCTGTGGGTCGGGACCCCATTTGGGGTCGATCGACCATTTCATGGGGGTCGCCAAGCAAGGCTGTCCGCCATTTTTTTGTCTGCCATTTTTTTTGTCCGCCATTTTTCCCCCTTTTCCGGCAGGTGCCTTACCTCCCTTGGGCTGGGCCAGCTGGTGGTCAGCCTGCTCCGTCTCTGCTGCTTGCCAGCTACGCCTCGGCTGCCGCAGGGGGCGGAACCACGCATGCGCGGTGCTCCCGGGCAGGGAAAGTCCTTGACTTACGATCGGTTTAGTCCTCGACTTACGACCAGTTTAGACCTCGACTTACGACCGGTTTAGTCCTCAACTTATGACCGGTTGGGGTCGCGGCATTAAAAAGGTTGAGAACCACTGATCTAGAGGTACTAAGCTGAAAATGGTTGAATTTTGTTATCTTTGTTATTTATCATCTAGAACAGTGTTTCTCAACCTTGGCAGCTTGGAGATCTGTGAACTTCAACGCCTAGAATTCCCAAGCCAGGATCCCAGCTAGGGAATTCTGGGAATTAAAGTCCACAACTCTTAAAAGTTGCCAAGGTTGGAGACCCCTGATGTAGAGGAACAAACTTCTACTTACAGAGACATAGTAAGGCCCTGCAAAATCTCGGATGACTCCTGCAGAAGTGCAAATGCCCATGTGACCAATGATCGGGAAAAGCCATCTGTAGAAACAAGAAAAGAGTGTTGTTTCTTTTCTCACACTGAAAAAAAGCTGTATTCCAGAAGCTGTAGAACTGGACATCCATGGTCATGCTAGATAGAACCGAAAACAGACAAAAGATCAAAAGAATTTAAATATGTTTCCTCTTAGCCAAGAATGTGTCCTTCCATTTGCAAAACTATATCTCAATTCCTTTGCAAATCCCGTTCTCATATATACATATCTTTTGTATAGATCAGTGATGGCGAACCTTTTAGAGACTGAGTGCCCAAACTGCAACCCAAAACCCACTTATTTATCACAAAGTGCCAGGGCTGCACCAGCATTTTGGTGCCCTCAGGGGAAGCAGGGAAGCACCTCTGAGTGCTGCCTCTGGCACGCAAAACCCGGGGGCGCAAAAATGGGCCACCGTGCTGCAAGACGCAAAAATGGCTGCTGCCGTACCGCAGGGTGCAGATACAAGGCGCTGCACCATGCAAGAACAGGGCAGAGCTAGTGAGTATCACGCAGGCACTAGTCCCGCCCCATTTGCAGCATGTTTTGCTCACAGCCCTGTGCACGCATGCACGCATGTAAAATGCTTCCACCTCCCTTTTCTTCCAGTCCACCAATTGACATTGGTTGGTGACCTCTGCTCTACCACCTCTACTCAAGCTTGCTAGTCAGCTGCTTCGCCTCCTTTGTGGTGGGCGGGGTTCCTGCTCCGGGCGGCAGTGGCAGCTTGATGGACCTGCTGCTGGCGGCGGTGGCACACGTGCCAATAGAGAGGCCTCTGAGTGCCGCCTCTGGCACGCGTGCCATAGGTTCGCCACCACTGGTATAGATATAAAAAAACACACATAAGAATATCCCTAGAATGCTAATAGATGCGCCCCCCAAATCCTGCCACCTTAGATGCAATGTCAGAGACTAATATTCAGCTCTCATTTATGCAGCAACAGCAACGCAAAGTTTAATTTTGATCAAAATTGTGGCTCTGAGAGAGGGAGCGCTTAAAGCAGGGGTCTTTAAACTTGACCCTTTTATGACTTGTGGACTTCAACTCCCAGAATTCCTCAGCCAGTGTGCCTGGCTGAGGAATTCTGGGAGTTGAAGTCCACAAGTCACAAAAGGGCCAAGTTTGAAGACCCCTGCTTTAAGGGGCTGTGTGTGTGTAGGGGGTGTTTGTGTGTGTGTGTGTGTTGGAGCTCGCCACTGCCATGCTAAAGTCCAAGTACCTGAGTCGATAGAAATGCTCATGCTCCAACGGAACCACCAACTACCCGAAGAACATGGGCTTGCACAACCAAACAACCATCATCATTAGAGGAGCATGTGAGATTCCCCCAATTCCACCCCACAACCCTGTTTACCACATCCGGCTGCGTGAGCGCGATAGAGAGATAGATCGCGCCAAGGTCTCCGGCAAAAGCAGCAAGAACTGCCGACTCCCCAACCCATCGTCCCCAACACCGGGAGGGAAAGGCTCTCCTCTTCGCCTCTGCGACCCCCCCAACCCGACTCAAGTAGGAGACCGTCGCTCACGTGAGAACGGGGATAGGCGTCCACACGACGCAGTACGGGAAGCGGCCGCGTTCCGGATCCAGCGCCGCCACGAGGGACCCGCCGACCCCCACCGGGACAGCGCCGTGGAACTGCTTCATCTTCCCCTCCGCAGCCTCCTCTTCCTCCATCACCGGGAGGGGGGGAGGAGTTGGCCCAGAGTGACATCACTTCCTGGAGACGGGCACCCCGCTTCCGGACAACGGCGGGGCGGGGCCAGCGCGGCCTTTGAGCGGGGTGTTGGGGATGGCGGGAGGCGGGGCCTAACTCTTCAGTCCCAAAGGGGCTTCTTCAAAAGGCGGCTGGGCTTTGTGGCTTGCTTGAAGACGTTTTGCCTCTCCTCCCGGAAGCTGCTTCAGTTCTGCTCGGAAGTTCTGAACTGAAGAAGCTTCTGGGATGAGAGGCGAAACGTCTTCAAGCAAAACAAAACAAAACAAAACAAAACACAAAGTCCTGCTGCCTTTTGAAAAACACCTTTGGGACAACCATGACCTGGATGACTGAAAATCTCCATAGACACCTAGCTCTTAGTGGCATTGCATAAGACAGTGTTTCTCAACTTTAGGAACTTTAAGCTGGATGGACTTCAATGCCCAGAATTCCCAGCTTAAAGTTCCTAAAGTTGAGAAACAGTGGTGTAAAGGGAAGGGTGGGTTGAAGGGATCCTGGGCTGCTTGTAAGAGGTCTTTTCTCCCTAAGTGAGACCCCCCCCCCATGTCATCAAATTCCAGGGATGCATTGGTTGGGGAAAGAGGCCGAGATGTACAGTCAGTGCAGCTTCATTAGTGGTCCCTTTAAACTGGTCCCTTTTCCCTCGGCCCAGCCTAATGGCACAGTTATTAGGGAATGGTGGAGGCGGCAAGGCTGAGTCAATAAACTCAAGGGAACGAGGTGGGGGGGGCTCAGAAAAGTCTTTGGCAGGGGTGTCAAACTCACAATGTCACATATTGCAACGTTTTTGCCATTGCCGGCAATGGGGTGGGCGCGGTTTCGCTATGATGCATCTGGCCCACGGGCCAGCAGTTTGACACCCCTGGTCTATGGGAAGGGGGTCAGAGAAGTCAAGGTGATGGCCAAGAACTTGGAAGACTTGGCCAGTTCTACACTAGATGTGGCTGCTAGATTGATGGCGGAGTCCACTTCCTACTTTGCTCTCTGCTTTCTACTTATCCACCTTTTTGGTTATCATATTGATGTAGTTTTCTCGTGTTCCTTTGTGACTGCTTATTTTATTGTTCTATTATTTTACTTCGGTTTACACTCCTTTCATTTTTCTTCCTTTTTATTATTATAAGCCACCTACAGTAGCCTCACAGTGAGATAAGTGGCAAATAAATTTAACAAATAACCATTGACTCAAAGTCCTGCTTTTTTTTTCGTGCCTTTACGTGGTTTTGATCCCTTGGTTGTGGCCACCGTCTTGACTTTCTTGACTCCGTCCCAGTACACATCCTGGTGATAATATGTCTTAGTGGAGCATGTAGATTCATATGAAAAAATTAGAGAAATGTGTTAAATGTGAATGGATGTTAACAGATAACAATGATGGGGTAATGGACGGAAGTAAACAGGAGAAATTGTCCAAATACAACAGAGAAGAATTTTAGAAAAGTAGAAGGCGGAGACTAAATATATTTTGCTTTGTCTTCTGAGAATCTGATTTTGTCAATAGTATCTGGGAAAAAAAATCCCTTTATTTTGAAATAAAATGGAAAACTTTCAGTATTATTAAATAGTTTATTAAGTTTGGCTTGGCTCAAAAGTCGATCGGTCTCTTAGCAGCAGACTGAATAGATGCAGAAGCATATTTTTTAGATGGCAGGTATTCTTTTTTCTAAATGATTTATTTTTGTGTGGAATATTACTCTGTTTGGGAAATCAGTACACAGCATCAGAAATGAATGATCTTAAAATTTATATATTGAAAGTGAAAGATCTTAATATTTATATATTGTTAACCATCATCACGTGTACCATATAACTTTCTCCATAAATTTGTCCCATCATTTTTTTTAGAGCATCCAGGTTTGGGATTATCACTGCATTTTGTGATACCAGTGTCAGGATTTATATAGGCTTTCTTACATTTTGATTCTCAAAATCCAATGCCCTAGTCTCACATATATTAATCTCATTACTGGAGTTCTGTTTATGAATAATACTGAAGGAGGGACTGCTCTGTGAGCTGGATATCACGCTGAACAAGTAAATAATCCTCAATCTGCTAATCTTTCAATCAGCAGGCTGTCAGAACCAACCAAATATGTATCCTGGTTATTACAATTCTGACCCCTTGCATCTGAGAGGATTAAACTGGTACTGAGCTGCACCATCTTAATCACATGCACTCCAGTAAAACACTGGCAAGTCACAAACAATTTCCAGTATTATTTAAGTTTGGGGCAAAATGAGATAGAACACAGGGGAGATTGACAGCACTCAACAAAAAGCAGCGCATCTTAGAGGAGAATTTAAAATAGCATTGTGATGAATCATAATGAACAAAAATGAAAATATGAAGCACACACACATACACACACAGTAAAATGCTGCTAACCATGGTGATTAAAGAAGAATTTTAAAAAGATATATACAAATTATCCTCTTAGCAAGAGAAACAGGAATCTATCAGGCGTCACTGCTACTGCTGCTGTCTACTTTTGCTCGGGACATACAAGTATTTTTTTCCAGATTTGGGTTGTTTTTTTCTCTTAAAACTGCAGCAGCAGCAGAAGTGCATAAAATACATTGCAACATATGAAGTAGTTGGGCTCACACTCTGTGGCAAGGCATAATGTGGCTTGTTTCCTTTTGGGTTAGTTTTGGATTAAATGAATTTAGTCACTGTGATTTTAGACACATGGCTTGTGGCTTAGTGCAATAAGATCCATGGTTTATGCAACAATTAATAGCTTTGCACTCTAATCTACAGCTTGCCAAACAAGGGCGATTTGTTTGGTGAATGTCTTAGCCTCATTTTGCTTTCCCTACTTCTTCTAAAAATCTCCCATTCTCTTCCCCCCACCCCATCAAATACAGATTCAAATTTATGTTCTTAGTATCTATGCATTCACAATCCACTACTGGGAGAACTAAATTGGCTAAATTTGCATTTTCCCCATGTGAACTATTAAACGTCAACGTCTTCCTATCAGGTTTATGAAGATATTAACATTTAGCAACCTCTCTAAGATTATAGAACAAGATAGAGGTTGTAGTAAGAACATTATAGAACAAGATACAGGTAGTCCTTAACTTACAATCATTCATTTAGTGACCATTTGAAATTACAACTGCCCTGAAAAAAGTGACTTATGAATATTTTTCACACTTACAACCATTATAGCATCCCCATGGTCATGTGATCAAAATTCGTATGCTTGGCAACTAGCTCATATTTATGGTTGCAGTGTCCTGGTGTCATGTGACCTTCTGACAAGCAAAGTCAGATTCACTTAACAACTGTGTTACTAATTTAACAATTGCACTGATTCACTTAACAACTGTGGCAAGAAAGGTCGTAAAATGGGACAAAACTCATTTAACAACTGCTCACCTAGCAACAGAAATTTTGGGCTCAATTGTGGTCATAAGTCAAAGACTACCTGTAAGACTTTTTTTTTTTAACTTTGTAATCAAGAACATGCCTTGGGAATCATTCATCCATGCATGTATAAACATTCATAGTTTATGTCCAGAAATCTTTGCTGCAAAACACAGGAATGGTCTGTTTTACATCGGATCAAACTATCCAGCTATGTAAATCACACCTATCTGTTCTTGACTGATACTATCTTTCCAAGGCTAAAGCAGAGATCTTTTCCACCACTTATATCTATTCCTTTTAAATAAAAGCAACTGAAACTAGGATATCTGCATGTGGTGCCTACATTCTATCATTGGGTTGCAATCCTGTTTTGTTATAGCTGTGAAGATACAGCAACTGTTTCCATCCTAAATAACAGCAACTATAAGCCAGAATACTCCTGCATGAGTGGCAAAAACCATTAAAAAGATGTTTTTAAAAAACCCTAATCAGTTGTCTGTGTGTACAATGTCCACAGATGTTATTCTGCCAACAGATAGTATAAAGGCAGGACAAGAAGCAACGGGTGGAAACTAATCAAGGGGAGAAGCAACCTAGAACTAAGGAGAAACTTCCTGACAGTTAGAACAATTAACCAGTGGAACAACCTGCCTCCAGAAGCGGTGAATGCTCCAACACTGGAAGTTTTTAAGAAGAGACTGGACAGCCATTTGTCCGAAATGGTGTAGGGCAGTGGTGGCGAACCTATGGCACGGGTGCCAGAGGCGGCACTCAGAGCCCTCTCTATGGGCACAGAGTCCTCTGCTGCCCCAGTCCTAGGCCTTCAGCTGGGTTTTATAAAACCTTTTTGCTTTAGGACTCCGCCGCCATGTGCAAAAAAAAAAAAAAAAAAAAGGTTCAATCAGTCAATTTCAACTTCTCGGGGGGGAAAAAAAGTTCTTGCAAAGTTGGAATTGATTGATTGAACTTTTTAGTCCCACCCACTCTGCCGTTACCACTGCAGCCATGCCCACCCAAATGGCACTTTTAAATACAGCTGCTGAGAACAACAGTATTCGCTATCAAAATCCTCTAGTTTGTTTACCCTACTGAGCACTCAAGTACACATGACCAAAAGACAATCACCTTCCATAACACTATTTATAGATTTATGTGTAAATACTGCGTATGTGCGTGTGTAAAGATAAAATCAGGCTGTAGGAAGTAGGGTTCTACAGTATAAACTTATAGAACTTTAAATATAGCCTGGAACCTGCTTCAGAGTACTGTGGGAAGTAACAGACACAAGCAAGCAAGCTGTACACAATGACCAGCTTGATACTGTATAACTTTTAGCCCCTTTGAATCATGTTTTGTTATTCCTGATAATCTAATCAATAGGAAATGAAGGTATTTTTTTTCTAAAAAAGAAATTATTGTAAAGTACAAGAGCTAACTTATACTATGCTTTTAATGTACAATCACATTCAAATTCACACATCTCAACTAGAGAGGACCAATACTCAATTATTTATTTCTAAATGATACATTTAGAAACTTTTAAAAAGCCAATAAAAGGAAGACTTAGCTTTCATAAGTAGGAAA